CGATGTGAAATCGTTATCAAGGACTGTGATAGCTCCACAATAGACCCGAGAGCACCCCAGATCAGCAAATTTATCGCAAAATAGTGCCTATTACAAAGTAAATAAGATATTATGCCAGTGTCTTCCGACTGAACTATAGTGCGTCCATTTTTTATTGGTAGTACTGACACTCTGATCTATTGGTCAATAGGAAAGGCATTTTATCGGATGTCCATATATGTCACTTGTAAAATAATGTGTTCTGCATCTGCCTAGGAATATTAAAATAGTAAGACACGGGTCTTAACGCGACGTTTACTAATGAGTTACATTATGTACTCACGGCTTGACGTTTCGGCTGCGATGCTGCAGCCGTGGTCACAGGCAGTCTGCTTGAGCGGTGTCTTACTATTTTAATTGAAATGGAACGCGAAAGTTCAAAATGCCTAGGAATACTTGGTTTTTTGACCATTCGCTTATTTTTTTGGTTGTGCCAGTTCTTTATCAAAATCTTTCAATCCAGTGATATGACGATGCTGGCTGCTCTCTAGTTTATCTTATCTGTTCTAACAAAGAATTATGAGTAAGAACTAACACTAAGGCCCAGAACAGACGGTGAAACGCAACTGCAACGAAACTGCAACTGCTAGTTACTTTTGCCATAGCGTCCGTTGAGAGACCACACATGACGCGACCAGTTTGAAACTTTCAGTTTCAGTATCATTCATAAGAATCATCAGAAAGTTGCAGTTTCGTTGCAGTTGCGTTTCACCGTCTGTTCTGCGCCTAATAGTCCAGTCAATAAAGTATTAAGAGGGAAATGTGTGGAACACAATTTCTGACTTCGTGACTTTATTTAAACTAGTTAGGAGGTGAACATATCAAAAGTCCGCGCCATAGCTCTTGAGCCGGCGGGGACAGGGGTCTTGAAGGTCCGATTGTTCGGTATTTCGCTTAATTCTCACACTCACACACACATCCTCATCATCATCATCATCATTTCAGCCATAGGACATCCACTGCTGAACATAGGCCTCCCTCAATGCTTTCCATGTTGATCGATTGGTCGCGGCCTGCGTCCACCGCTTCCCCGCTACCTTTACAATACGTTGGTCCACCTTGTAGGTGGACATACACATCATGATCTATCATTTATTGTCTCGAAGCAGATACTGGGACGTGTAAAAGTGCTTTTGAAAAGCGTACTTGCAAAATAAAATTACTTTTATGAGTTTTACACGTGAAAAGTCTTTTACCATATTCCTACAACTAGCGGCCGCCCGCGACTTCGTGCGCGTGGATCCCGTTTTACCCCGTGGAGTTTCGTAAAATCCTTTCTTAGCAGATGCCTACGTCATAATATCTACCTGCATGCCAAGTTTCAGCCCGATCCGTCCAGTGGTTTGGGCTGTGCGTTGATTGACCACTATGTCAGTCAGTCACCTTTGAGTTCTATTTAGAATAGCAACAGCAACCCAAGGAAAGTAGTCCGTGCTAAAAAGTTGCATCCGCAAAGACCCGTGATAACCCTAAGGGCAATTACCTTGGTATTGCCAGTAAACATGCGTCAGCATTATAAATAATAAAATATTTATTTACTTATTTATATGCCCATTGTCGGTAATGTAGGTGACGGTTGTGGCAAGTGATTGCTAAGTATACAAACACAGATAAGATGCACTTTTAGAATCTTTTTTAGTCATTATCAATATTTGATGACAAAATTAGCAATTAGGAGCAAAGATAACAATGCTGTTTAGAAAAATATTTATTCTGCAAAAGATTATGATAGTAAATAATGGAGTTTAAATACAGATCTAATACTAATTACTCATAATTTTTAAATTAATGTGAATCATTAAATGTTTTTGAAATAATGTACTTGTTTTTTTCTAACTAAATAATTATATTTATCTGCTTCTTCTTCTTCTTGTCGTGTCGACAACACACTTACCGTGTCGACAACACACCTACACAGCGTCAGCCCAAAACTCCGCCACAAGAATGGCGTTGTCAGTAGTCTTCATTAAATCTTCCTGTGTGCAGTTGTTTGGGCATGCAGGACATGACATCATGCTTATGATCACTAACATACTCGTACTTCAAAACTATTCAACATTCATTAAGAAAATTTATAACTTGCAACTTATTAGAATAGAATAATTATCACATTAATTTACATACAGACACAGAGTATGGGGTTTTCCCATTGATAATGTTCTAACAGTGGTTCAACTGTGCATAATGATCTACCATAAAGTTTACTATTTATAGCTTTAGAGATGACAACAATTAGTACTTTGTAGTTGTTAATTTTTTAAAATTTTATGGACAATAATTTTTTGCTGTAAAATAGCAGCTATCAATATTCAAGTTGTATCTTCCTGCACATTTATGTACAATTTAATGCTGTTGAAACATTGTTAAACAAATAAAATAAAATAAATAAAATAAATCACATAATAGGTAAGATGATATGCATAGCTCGATGTGACCATATCCATACAAAATATCTATGACATAATATTATATTTTTACATGACCCGATGGTGATCAGCCATATTTTTGAGTCAATAAATAGGTAAGTAACAGTAAGCACTGAATAGTTTGTAACACCCAAAGTTGCCCAAAAAAATCACAACACAACCTTATTCCAATTGTATTAACAAGGACTCTCAAAATCAGCATGATAGATAATTAAGTGAATAATCGATGAGGTTTTGCACTATGTATTCTAAACCAATTCGAACCCGTAAAAATATTGACATATCTAAAAAATAACTGCCAAAATATCTTAAAAAAATAACTCCAGAAATCAAATGACAAATATTGGATCTACTGTGTAAACAACCAGTTCTTAACACCTTCGCTGCCATCCTAAAAATGGCACTGTTCCGTTCGGGCCATGGGGGACAATGATGGGCGACACTTTAACTTTCCGTTCGGGCCGCGTCGGACAATGATGACCGCGAGTCAGACCTATGTTTAAACCTCTGTATTGAGCCGATGGACAGCATTTCTTCAATAATTCTCATATAAGCTGACCCGCGCGGCTCCCAAGATTAGTGTACGTCACTTGGTTCTCAGGTAAAGCTCGGACTTAGAAAAAAAAAAATGTGGATAACGGTAGCGCAATGAAACATGGTAATTATACAATGCATTTTTGCAAATTTATCAACTTTTTAGCAAGATAATAACGGTTTATTAATTAAAACATATCGTTTACTTATTTTATAAAATTTATAATATGCAGGACAATAAAAAAAATCACTTTCATTGTTGAACAACCACTTTGTATGAAGGGTTGGTACAGGTACTAAGTTCTTTGTACAGCTACAAAAATTATGCCATTTAAAACCTTATTAGTGGCATAAATTATTGTACTTATTATATGCTTACACCTAGCAGGATTGTCGAGAAAAATAGATTTGTTTAATGTATGAAAAAAACATTTTTTCTCTTATCAATACTCTATTCTAGAACTTTTTTTTATTATTCATGTTGGTCAAAGTATTGGCATGTTAAATCAGCTATGTCATTATAATTATTTTTAATTTTAAGTATATTTTTAAATATTATTTGTAGATATATTGACAATTCAATATTGTTTTGAAAAAAGAACCGATCGAAAGTGACACTACAGTGATGGATGAAAAATTCAAAATAAAGTCTAAACAATTTCTAAAACGTCAAGTCGCAAAAATTGGTTTAATAACCCAGTTGTTAGTAGCACCTTCCTGTAAATTTCATAATTTTATGGCTGTCCAACGAGACAAAAATGGGAACTAATAGTTCAGTATTGATAGTAGCGCCTTCCTGGCAATGCCATAGCTGGGACGGCTCAGTTTTGGACAACTTTTATACGAATTATTGATAAATTCAATTTTTTAAATAAAATTTAAACCTTTTTTAATTAAAACAATTTGAAAAAAATCACTTTTAGCGTTCCTTTTACGGTATCATCGATTTATTTATTATTATTTTTAATCACTATTTAAGACTTATCCTGCTAGTTTCGTTTCTCATTTTATACCTTATAATATTCCTATTTATGCGTAATATAATATATCAAAAACCTACCAATGTACAACTCTTTATTTTTTTGGTTGTTCTCCTTTTTTTTTTGGATGCGAGCGGGGATGGTCGACAACATGACCGCGCGGCCCTACGGAACGGATTTTCGAATTTTCGCTCGCTGGGGCCATGGGGATCAATGATGTCCGACGCTTAATAATTCGATGTAGAGACTCAAAAACAACTATATGTTAATAAAATCCTTTATTTATGTTTATAATGTAACGATTTAACAAAAAAAAACAATCGACGAAAATTGAAAAAAATTGAAATTTTTACTTGGCCTGGTAGGAAAGTGCAGTGTCGGACAACATTGACCGCGTTGGCGTTCAATGTGTTAAACTACTCCAGATTGTATTTGAACTGGCAATGATCGTATAAAAATTGTCCAGCATTAACTTTAAATATTTTTTTACAGATCTTCTTAAGTTAATAAATAATCAGTCTTGAAATAATCAGGTTTTTTTAATATTTTTAATCTATCTCATACATTATCTTATTGGAAATAACTTATGTATGATTTATTTTACTTCTGTTAAGATTTATAAGTTATTTAACATTGCTTATTATAAAAATAATAGCAAATAAGCCTAACATAACTATTTATATTCCCTCCAAAACCCTTCAAAGGCCTGTTACTTGTTTTGTTAAAATATAAATATCCAAATCCAGTTTCTCTTTCATTAATATATTCATGCAACGCCATCTGGCCGGTGCATATCCGGTGCAAATATAGTAGAACAACACAGACGTTGGGAAGGCTCGTCTTCAAACCAGTTATTACACTATTTACGTCCCAATTCAGTAACATACGCATACCTACACTAGCCGACATAATATAGTTACGAAACTGCAGGTACCCGTAAAACAAGTAACACAAACATTAAACTTACCAACTAATTGCTTCCTGGTGCTAAAATAATGAGGATTATTACTGAAATACTCACCAATGAATATGAAAACTAATTAAATTAAAAACTCCTTGAATTACACTTGTACTTTCGACACAATTTCACAAGAACTTTCCGAACGCATTCCAGTGGAATGTTTTGTTTAAGAATGAATTATTGTTTTTGCAGTGCACAATACATTGTAATGGATAAACGAAATTAGCACAAGGAGTGGAAAACAAAAAGTATCACGGTCAATCACGGTCCTCCAGTTGTTTAAGCAAACACGTCTGACAGCTGCTGTCATTTGGGCCGATCATGACAGTGACAGTGACAAGTGGCAGCTGGAAACTATAATACCAGCCTAGTTACTGTAAAAGATACTACCTAATTTTTATCGTGCCATTTTGCAATGAGTTAAATTACTTTTTCAAAATGAAAGCAAATTTTTTCTTGTAATTTATATTGCAGTATCTAAAAATGTATTTGGTTTAATTTATATGATTTCTTTTGTTTTATTTTGGTATGTCAGATAACACGTATTAAACTAAAATTATGATTTTAATAAATAACTTATTTTAAATTACAAACAAAACAATATTATTTCAATGTTGTCTATCACATTAAAAGATACGTCGAATAAATAATTTGAAATAATAGTAGTAAAGTCTTATTGTTGGCAACATTATGACCTCACGTCAAAGGCGTTTTGTTATTGCGAAAAACAAAAATCAAACAGATTAGAGACTCCTTTTTTTTTTTTTTTTTTTTTTTTCCCCTAAATTGACACAACAACATCCCTTTTTTGTCTCCCATAATTTTATTGTTTGTTCTGTTGATATTTTATTTTCATGTATTGTGTTGTCTTATTTGTGATGTCTGTTTGTTTTAGGTATTTAAATTTGCTTAAATTGCAGCTACAAAATTATTTATTTTTATAACCACACTGTGTAAAAGCTGCGCACGTGACATTGGCGGAATAGTGTGCCCTCAGTGGCGAAAAAACGCAAGTTCATCGCCATAAACCAAAGAAGAAGAAGAAGAAAAACAAAAAAAAAGGCGGGAAAAAAATGTGTATCTTGTTGTTGTGAACTTGTCAAAGTGAAAGTTTATGTGAAAATATAGAATTAATTTCAGTTTTCAGAGGAGTGAATGTATTTATCATAATTATTTGAATATGTGCTGGTGTAAGATAAAAGTTTTGGCTGGTTTATTTGATAAAGAATACTGGAATAGAGTTATAAGAAGACTCAGTTGCAAAACCCATAAACCAAGATCGCAAAGCATCAACAAGTTAGTAGTACCTAATTATTATTACCTACGTTATTTTGAATTTTATTAATTTTATCTACTAGACCTAAAAAGCTGAAATGAATCCAAAATATAAACAGACCTACCCATACCCATTTACTTAATAAGTGAAAGTATTTTGATGGTTACAAAATAATATTGTGTGCCACCTTTTACTCACTTTTAAGGCTTTAGATGCTGAATGATTTATCATAATTCAAAGAAAACAAGATAACAAACTTGCCTAGGTACAACACACTACAGTATATGCAGTATTGTTAGCTTATTTAATTTTAACATTGAATCACATAAATCCTATTTAACTACTCCATTATTAGTCATACGGAGATGTTTGATGTTTAACCAAGTTTGAACCTATAAAAAATCGTACTTTATTGGAAGTTTTATTTCGCCGCGCCGCGCACAGCGATCGGCAGCGCCGCCCGCATCCTAAAATCGGAACTAAACTCAGAAACGAACCATAGGATACACCGATGTGAACGCATGACCTAAATCCCTCGTACATTAAAAATAGCCGTCGACAATAGCTCAAACACTATTTTTAGTGCGTATCTTTAAATCTGAAAGCATACAGTCTTATCTGGTTGTTGTTTCGGCGACAGATGTGGAGTGCGTAAGGCCGCTCCGCGCACCCATGTACACCTCGCAAAATCGATAGCTCAGCGTCCGTCTCAGTGTCGACTTGTTTTCCATCGAATTTAGTGCTCGCTTAGTCCGCTAGCGTTTTTGTTAGAAGTATCATGTTAAATTAATAATGGAATCGTCAGTAAAGAGGTACATTAGGAGTGATTCAGCGAACTGCGCGCATATGGTTGAGGAGAGTGCAGCGAGTTGTAGAAAAGTGGTGGATCCCCACGAGAAATTGAAAGCGCTGCTGAACTCGCCTGAGGAGGACACGGACGACTCGTTGCCGCCGACGGATGCCCCGAAGTTCGGAACTGTGATACATAATAGAATTTTTGTGGGGGGTTTCTCGTTGACGACGACTGATGAAGACCTGTGGAAGTTCTTCTCTGGGTTCTCGACGGTGACGGCGGCGAGGGTGATCTACGACAGAGCTGGAGTCTCCAAGTGCTACGGGTTCGTGACGTTCGCGAGTCCCCGGGTCGCCAGGCTGATCGTGAAACAGGTTAGTCCTTTGTTTGGTTGAGGACCTTTGACATTTATGAGGCCCTTTTGTTGCTGCTGAGATTTAAAGTGTTTCAAGCTATATGAAAATAGGTAGTATTTATATACGATTTAGTTAATTATTTATGCATCATAATTAGACGTTATTCATAAAATTAATTTGAATGATAATAACAATGAAACATGACAGAAACCCCACGTTTATTAAACAGGAAAAATCTTTTTTCATCTCAAGCGCTATTATTATCATGTTAATTTTAACCAACACACCCGGGTATCACAACTTAGATAAGATTTCACATCTTTTATCTTTCCTCTCGTCATAGATAGTGAAATTCCATAAGAAAAACATCCATCAATGGTTTTCGAATAGAGGAACATACTTACTTACTCGTAGTTTGGAAAATCGCTCGGCAACCTTGACACAGTTTCGGTATTGGGTCAAAAATTTCAAACAGTGTGAGGTCGGACCTCAGTGAATACCTCGCTGCCACATTTCGTGGAATCCACCGGCAATTTATGGGAAATATGCACAAAATACAATGAACTGAATGCTACACATTTACGTCGTAAAATTTCAATGTTATTCAAACAATAAACAATAATATAACGTAAGCTCACGTTGGCGTAGTGGGGAGGGACTTACCTGTGCGTAGGGGGTTCCGGGTTTGATTCCAAGTTGTTTTTTAATAAAAATAAAACAACTTTTATGTCAATAAGTAGGTAGGTAGTTACACGATTTTCTATTGAAAATAGCATAGCTACTTATTACTACTGAATAACATAGGTACCAATGCAATGTTTATCTTGATGATTCTGTTGACGTCCTACTTAGTTACCTACACTGAAAATGTAAAGCGCCAAAAATTTCTTCAACAAAAAAGTGATCAAATTAAATAAAAGAGGAGATAATGCCTAAATGTATAAACGGTACAGCCAACATTAACCCTGCGGCATTTTATGTGTTAGTTATAGGGGCGATTTTCCAAGAATTGTGTTTAGTCGGTCGACTGTACGAAGTTGCGGGTCGAACTCGGTATAGCCGAGTTTAATAACTCTTATCCTCTCTTCTAAAAAGTGCTTCCGCCCTTTCCCCGGCCAAACAATCCGAATCCTCGGAGCTTCGGAGCTTTGACAACTTTGTGCTACTGTCTAAAGCTCTCGAATGGAGTGTTGCTCGGGATCCCAAGACCCTGCTAGGGCCGTGCAAAATGACCAAAAACTAAACAACTGATTTAAAAACGGAATGTTTCTTGACAACTTCAATTAGACCGCGGCTTGGTCCACGTGAATTTCGGTCTGCTATAGCCACAGAAAGATATTGCCTATTGCCACTCGTGGTTACTGGTGAAAGAATTTTAAAAATCAGTAACACCAGTTGAGAGCTATTCACATTTTGTACCTAATTTATAAGTGTTTATTTAATAAAACTAGTTAACTTCATTCTCCTTTTTTTTCATGAAACTTGCGACAAACTAATACGCAAACGATATCTTGTACAAAGCTAGAATTTACTCATTCTCTCGAAAGTAGAGTGGTTTTTAAATTACTAAAAAGTGTTATTTTTTGGCCATGGACTCTTTGCTTACCTAAAGCTTGAGACCAATAAGACAATGCCATATTTTTTAAAGCATTAAATTACCAAAAATTTCTTTATTTTTTCTAAGTACGAATGGGAACCCTACCCAGTGAGGGCGGTTCGATAGCCCCTCTCGCCAAGAGCACTCGTGTTTCTTTGCAAAACCTCTGAGAGGCGCGCGGGTTCCAATGACATTTTTAGGAAGGTTTTCGACAGAGTTTTTTTCACTTTACGTGAAAAGTCACTGTGGTTTTTTAGTTAGATTTTACTGCGAACGATTTTTGCTATCACGACTTTTTTTCTGAAAATTCGACTTACTTAGGTTTGGGACTTTAATTTTACATGCCAGCTAAATAAATAAAAACTATTTCTACGCTTTAAACCACAGTGACCTAGTGTAGTAGCTACTAGACCTATAACTACTAGTTTTTATGACTTTATTACGAATATCGCTACTTCAAATTATGTGCTGACGTCGATTTTTTGCCGCAAACAATATCGCACCAGTCCCAGAGCACAACGCATGCCACTAAAATTTTATCCAGCCTCGAAGGACCAAATGTAAATGCTCACATGTCCACACCTCTAGCTTTCCGTTTGATTCCCATGTATCGGGGGTGCAATAAATCCTTAAGAACCCTCTCAAGCGGACAAATGGTTCCACACAGGATCCCATGAGTTATAGCGGCGACGTGTTCCTTGTTCTCAGATTCTACCTGACATTACGATTTCAAAAGGCTATATACGTCGACTTTTTACAATGGAAAAATGGAAATAAAAGATCGAAGATTTCATACATGTAGAAAGATTTTCAGGTTTTATCGTGCGATCTAGATTTAGGTAAGTATTTTTTGTAATTTAAACATGAAGGAATATGGACAAATCTAGAGGATAAATATTGCTATCACCACTCTTTATGTTCCGAAAATGTTCCGACGGTTAATATTTTCCGTAAAATTAAATCATAATAGGTAATCCAATTTATCGTTGACCTGGAATGAATTTTGGAATATAAACAGCCAAATACAAAAATATACTTATCAGGCATAGGAAATTAGGGCTCCCATAATATAGGTAGAGTAATTTATATTATTTTCCAAGTCTGGATAGGAATCACTCCGGATCATAGATAAGAATAAAATTAAATACTCTCCGGATGTGCCGTTCACTTTTTTTTCTGACTCACAATAGGCATATTGTATTTGACCGCAATCGCACCTGATGTTAAGTAAGATGCCGTCCAGGATGGTACTATCTGCCCTGTAAGTGCCTATTCACTCTCGCCTTGAAAAGGCCCGGATTATGGTGTTCAGGAAAGACACAGCAGGCAGCGAACTTCGACTTTTTCTCCTCCCACACACATCACACTATTAAGGGATAATGCCCGACCTACATTCAGAGCATGAAGTGGGGACGTTGGATTTAATAATGCCGTCGACACTTTCATAACATTCCTTTTTATTTCAGTCCATAATTCATCGACATGACACCGGAATGTACAGTCAGCCGCGGATAAGTGAGTTCAATTGGTGACTTACACCCGTATTCACAAACAAAAGCAGCAAATCGAACGCACAGCGTTGAATAGAGCTCTATTGATTCGTGTGTGACTCTGTGCGTCAACGTGGACTGTGAGACCTCATAGTAATGTTTGTGAATACGAGCGTGAGTTTCTTTCGCCACTTCTCAGCACCAACCGATATGTTGGCCTGAAATTGTGGTAGGGCAAGCTTTATTGGGACGTGTGAAGTGCCCTGAAAAGGACTTAACTGATACCTAAAGAATCGTAAGTCGTCGTTAGGCAATCGTTTTACAAGATTGTGTCGAGTTTAGATAGTAGGTAATCCAACTTTCTGATGTAAACTTGTGTTTTAGAATATTATTGTAGTCCCCTTCTCTCTGTAATAGCTGCAACAAGAACAAGGTTTCTTTTGTTCTTAATAGGTACATCGTAGGATACTACATCTACAAAATACAAAGTACCATATTAAAAGTTTGTGAGTAGGTATACCTACATAATTTACCTAATAGTTCATTTCTAGATAATATTCGGTGGGTCAGGATTTTGGGAATAATAATTCCGAATCTTACCATTGAGTGGAATTATTGGGGAACACTTCCTGGAATATCCCCGACTTGGGTAGTTTTCCTGGTAACAATTTACTAACTAATAATATCTTCCTTCCAAGTTCATCAACTTTACCACTCCGACTGTACTCGATACGAGCTCGATACGTCCAGACAAAATGAAAACGTTTTGTTATTAGTTCGCGTGCCAACACACCCTGATTCGAAACGCGGATGTTCCACAAAAAATGACTTTAAGTCTACGCCATAAAGTTTGATGTTGAACGGCGGCGCTTGATGCTGATAAGGAAAAACGATGCCTAATATCCTGATGGAAATAATCTCGAAACGGAATAGAATTCTCGTTGCAAGGTATTTTATTAATAGGAGAAATATAAAAACGTTTTTTTGTACAGGTTTAAGGCCCGATTCGACCAAATTTTTATCCGAGAATAACTCCTGGTATAACTGGCACATTGACGGTTTCAGTATGGGAAATATGTCGAAACTGACGATTTATTCTGAGATTAATATTTACGACCACGAAGACGTAGCGTGGGCCTCCCACTAGGTGGACCGATGATCTGGTGAGGGTCGCGGGAGGTGCCTGGATGCGAGCGGCGCAGGACCGGTCTTTGTGGAAATCCTTAGGGGAGGCCATTGTCCAGCAGTAAACCTCAGTAGGTATATCTTATACATACCGGGTGTGTACCAAAGGTTTATAATAGCGTTTCAAAGGGTCCGTTCTACTACATCCCCTGGCCCAGTTAAATAAATATATCGTCATCATTGACCAAAACCATAGAATTTGCCAGAAGGAATATCTTCAGTGACCACAAGGTACCTACGTGCTGGATTTGGGACACATTTGAATAGTTAATGTAATACCCTAACCTATACATAATATAACTCGTATACATAAAAGCAATTTATCTAAACATTCTGATCCAACCCCGTACTTCCATCCCCACAACATTTTGGTAATGCCATAGCACTAATAGAAGCAACAAACCATTTCCTTCTTATAATGAGTCAAATCAAAGTGTTATAGTCACGCGCGGTTTTCACGCAATTAAAAAAAAACATACGGGTCGAATTGAGAACCTCCTCCTTTTTTGAAGTCGGTTGAAAATAGTTGCTAAACAGAAATCATTGTGTTGTTACTTAGCATTAATTTATTAATAGTGACATACTATTGTGGCAAACGCTATGACATTGATTTTCAGCAACCCCTCCGTTCCCGGATGGCTGGTAAACATAACATGAGAATATCGCTCCGCCATTTTGAAGAGATTAACAGTATTTACTTTTTATCATTTTAACAAAATAAAAATAATAGTTTTCAGTTATTTATT